CTCCTCTCAGATGATGGGAATGTCCGCCCAAGTAGTGACCTTCTCTAACTTGAGGCATATTCAGCATAAGAAACCTTAGATTGTTACTTCTTCCTCTCCAAGTAAGCAGGTTCTGGGCATTAATGATAGAACTCCATTAAAAGATGCCCATACAAACATCAAGCAGTGGCAGGATACGAGCATGTAACATTACCAGATGTTGAAGAGCTACTTGCAAACGTTTTCCAGTTTAGGAAAGACAGAAGAGGAGTCATATCTAAGCCATGAACTAAGTCTTCAGAGTGTTTGAGAAATTCAAGCTCACATTATCACTGTACCAAATCACTCCATTAATCCAACAGCTACACAGAAACACACATTCCACATCAGACACACAGCACTAGAACAGTGTGCAATCACTTCAGGCCTCTCACAGGTTTAACACACTTCAGATTCCCACGATAAAAAAATATTATATAAGTTATACAAACACACAGTCAGGAACTACACAGCAGAGGAGCCAGCCCCAGGATATCCTGCACGTGTCAGCAGGCACACAGGAAGAACCACTGTACCCAGCACGGCCACGGAGCACACGGTCCCAGCTCACACGCAGGAATTCATGCAACAGGGCATGCCAGGCACTGCTTCTGACTGTGCCAGCAGGCATGCAACAACAGGTTACACTTGGACAACAGTCACCCATCCTACACTTTTCCCCTGCCTCTGCACCGAAGCTTCCACACTGGAGATGACGACAGCAGACCTGTGAATAACTTCTGAAACCATGACCTGAATCAGGCAGCACATGTTTAGGTGAATTAGCCCAAATTTTGCCCAGCTGAACCTGCTGATTTGAAAACTGCAACACCTGAGGAGCACACTAAATGCTCCTAATCCCAAAACCACAGATGGCATTAAGAGGTTTTTAGCTCTTCTATTCAAGGGTGCAGCTTGACAGTGTAACTGAGGAAAATGCAAGGAGCAACTGCTCCCAGAACATGCTGCCTCGGTCACCCCCACCCCAGCATGTCCTCCTGTGCCAAGTGCTTATACCTGCCTGTCTGCAGAGAATCAGTATGCAAAAAATCGTTCCCCAGCTCTTTAACAGAGATACCACAGCTAGCACCCACAGGGCTGCTATCACCAAACACTGACCTGGAGGTGGAAGGGATGTCTCCTTTTGGGGGCTGAAAATCCATAAAATGGTCACAGTGACCCTGTGCCTAGCACTGCACATTGTCACCTCTGAGCCCATTAATTCACAGGGCTGGAACCCCTCTGTTCTGGAGACGAGGCAAGGAGAGCTGGGGGTGTTCAGCCTGAGAAGACTCTGGGGGACCTTAGGGCCCCTTCCAGTGTCTGAAGGGGCTCCAAGAAAGCTGGAGGGACTTTGGACAAGAGCCTGGAGTGACAAGGCAAGGGAGAATGGCTTCCCACTGACAAGAGGGCAGGGTTATATGGGATACTGGGGAGAAATTCTTCCCTGGGAGCACGGTGAGGCCCTGGCACAGGCTGCCCCATCCCTGGGAGTGTTCCAAGGCCAAGGTGGACGGGGCTTGGAACAATCTGGTCTAGTGAAGGCGTCTCTGCCCATGGAAGGCGGATGGCACTGCATGAGCTTTAAGATTCCAACCCAAACCATTCCATGATTCTGTCAGTCTATAAAAATGGAGCAAGCATCATCATATTCCTTCCTGACCGTACATTACAGTGAAGCGCAAAAAAAGTTGGAAATTAATGACAGACACAGAAAGATTTACGGTTCTACCTACAGTTGGGAAAACTAAAATAAAACTGTGTTCCCTGAGTATCCAGCTGCACACTGAGCGCCCGTTCGGAAGCGCTCCTGCGGGGCCTCCAGCAGCGCCGGGGCCGCGGGCGCTCGGTGCAGCCGCGGGCCCGCCCGAGCGCGGCGCCGCCGCCGGCTCCCGGCCGGGGGCTCGGCCGGAGCGGAGCCCGGCCCGCCCCCGGGCCCTCGGCGGCACCGCGGCCTCCGCGCCCCGGCCACGCCCGGCCCACAGCCCGCCCGCGCCCCGCGCCGGCCGCGCTCACCCTCCGACAGCTCCAGCTCCAGCTCGGCCAGGCTCTCGCGCACCTCGGGCGGCAGCGGCACGGCGTCCAGCGCGCAGCCCCCGCGCTCCGCCGCCATGGCGCGGCCGGGCGAGCAGCGAGCGGGCCGGCGGAGCCGCCGCCCAGCGCCGCCGCAGGTGGGGCCGGGGGCGGGCCGGGGGCGGGCAGCGGCGGGCCCGGGCCGGCGGCGGGCGAGGGGGAGGAGGCGGCGCCGGCCCCGCCGCCCCGCGCAGCCGCTGCCGCAGCCGGGCCGCCCGCTGGGGAGGGGCCGCAGGCGGCCCGCCCGCTCGGCTCCGCCGCCGCCCTTCTCCCGCTCCCTTCCCTTCCCCACCCTTCTCGTTGCCTTGGCACCTGCAGCGCTGAGGCCCCTTTCCTGTCAATGCCGAAACTGCCCTTTCCGCCCCCGCTGCTTCCTCCCGACGGAAAATAGGAACTGCGACCCAGCCTGAGCCCGCGGGGGCCGCCGGGTATCCCGGGGTAGAGCAGGGATGTTTTCATGGCACGGAATTCCACTGTGAGAGCCTGGATATAAAGTGGTGTCTGGGACTGCATAAATGAAAAAAAAAAAAATTAGTAAGCGTATATTTTCTAAAGCCAAGCCCCTTCTCAAGGGCAGTAGAGAGCAGCAGGAAGCGTTTGGATTGCAGCTTTTCCCCCCTCAACTGTAGGTTCCAGGGGGAGCGTGTGGCAGGGCACCACAGCCTCATGTTCTGGCATTCCTGCAGCCTCCCAGAGACTCAGAGGCAAAGGCAAAGCCACGACCTTGCCAGCGGTCCCGACCACTCAAACTGCTCTGCCAGTCGCAACTTTCCTAGAACTAGAAAATAGGGAAGGCTAGGGAGTAGTCTTCTGCTGACAACTGCTCCTGTCCAAAACACTGTTCCTGTTTGGGATGATTGGGTTCACGCTGGGGCTTCCAATTTCTCTATTCACATTACTGAGGTCAGTACATCACAGGAGAGTGTGTCCCATATGGCTGCCCTTCCGAGGGCATTGACACACCATACCAGCACTAAGAAAACCACGCTGCTTAAAATGTCATCCCTTACATTGGGAAGAAACACTTCTGCTTCCACTACCTGTCAGAAAGCTGTCAGGAAGCTGATGGCAAAATAGCCACAGAAAACACAGTACCTGTAGCTCAGATGCTATTAGCCTTTGATGCCATAAGTTTTAGTTTTCATGTTTTCCAGATTTTGTACTGCATTAGTATATAACTCTGAACATAATATAAAATGTTAGCAAGTTCTCCTCATGGTTTAATTAGACAAAACAATCCCTTTGCAGCCTGAGAACCAAGGACTGTTGCAGCTTCAGGCCCAAAAAGTATAAACAATAGCAAATTGAGGACAGCAAACTGGGAGGATGGGACTTCATAACCAGAAGCTGTAATTGGACAATTAACCCCAACATCTAAATGGACCAAAACTTATAAAAGTGTGAAACATGTGACCCATCATGCATATTTGGTATAGCCTTGGCCAGGCTCTTTTACTGCCCAAGGTGTATCCTTTGAAGGCCTTTTTAATAAATACCTACTTAATTCCTTTAACACTGTCTAGCCTCTGTTCTAGGCAGCCTCTCAAGGCATAATGTTCTCTGCAGATTTCTTTCCTGAGTAGGAGGCTGCACCTCTGCCCCTTGCCTCCATATCCAGCCTGTGTTCCCAGAAACAGTGACTGCCCAAGGAGAGTGTGTAGGGAGAAGGTGAGGCAGGGAAGCACTGGCTGCTACAGAAAAGCTCCTCCGAGTGCAAAGTCCTGCCAAAGCTTGGGAAGAGCCCTGCATATTCTGGGACATAAAAAAGCCCCTGCAGACTCATTGAAAAATGTGCCAGTGCAAAGCCAAATTCCCTTGAAACGGAACTGATCCCTACGATGTGCCAATCTGATGTTTTTAAAATAAATACGGTGCAGTCACTGAGCCAGCTTAAACTTAGTTGAAACTGGTTTGGAACTCTGGACAAGTTAAGTTACTTTTGCCAAGCTTTTACACCAAATCAAGAATTATTTGTTCACAGCTCTCTTTATACCTAATCAGTTCAAGGGTTCTCCTATAGCTGTCAGGGGGTAATAAATCTGTACATGTGCCAAGCTCTATCTTTACTGGTTTTTTTTTCAGAGAACCAAATGATGATTTACCTGACAGATAAATATGAGTTTAGGAAGACAAAAGCAAATAAATAAGAAATAAAACAATCTCAGATGAATGCTATTATATAAATTCTCAATACCCAGTAGATAAAAATCTTTTAATAGGCTGCAGCAGAACAATTGGCCTCCAGAAGAGGTTTCTCTCATGTTCCAAAGTTAAAAACCTCAACTGCTTCAAAAGTAGAGATTTCACATGTCCAGAGGTTTAAAATATTCTGGTATTATAATTCTTCCTATGCCTTTTGTAAAACAAAATATAAATATCACAGAAAATTTTCAGTTTTCTTTTTTTTTATATGAAAAATATTCAGCATGATACTTGGATCTAATTTTTGCACAGAGACATTGTGACTGGAAATGGGGGTACCACCAGAACACCTCTTTCTTCTTCTCTGACCAGCAACTTCATACACATTTGGAACTGGCCCCTGAAGGCAGCTACAGCACAAGATACCAGAGGCAGGATCACTTACATTAGATGTAGATAGAGTTCACAGGTTTTGTTTGGTATGTTTTACCAAAAATGCATAGAGTTAAACAAAATGATGGGCCTTTTGAACTAGAAAAATGAAGATAAAAGTGTCCAGAATAAATAGGACAGACTGAGGGAGAATTTATGTACTGAAAAACCCTATATTCACAGAAAGCCATGTGTATCTTTGATATTTTTGAAAGTATTTGAGCTATTCCTTCAATTGGAATGATCCTACAGAAATATTAAAACGCAAACAATTTTAGGAGCAACAAAAGAAATAAATAGGTATGACAGAAATAAATAACCACACAATGTAAGAATTCACTAATAAAATGCCATTTTAATAACTTTTTTTACAAGGTATCCACCTATACACTATAGAAAAATAAACACCACAGAGACTTTTTGCAGCTTACAATACAGCAATGCAGGCACACTTCAGCTGTTGACTTAATTTCACATGAGAATGTAAAACATTGTTCTTAGTGAAAAGTAAGTCCCTCTTAAAGTACTAAAATATAATAAAAAGAGTCATATAAAAATCTGCTTTAAAAGCACTGCCCTTTATTCAGTTGCATGGGAGACTGTAAGTGCATTTGTTGAGTGAGGACCGACTCAGAGGAAGCAGGAACTTGCAGGACAGATTTTGTGAGTGTTTCCATTACTTTTTTAGGTTTCTCTGATGAGGTAAACCTAGCACTTGCCCTAAATTAAAAAAAAAAAAAAAGATATTAGAAAACTGCTCGTGTTATGAAGCAACAATGTAAAATTAGCAGCATGTTATTACTCAAAGCACTTCATATGAGCTACACTGAAAGCAATTCCAATTTTCACGAGCCACCTAGGAACAATCCCAAACAGGATTTGAAAGCCTAAACAACTGCCAAAGCAAACCTTCATACCCTGGGACCAGTGCTCCATCACAGGCCTGCTTTACCCCCAGTGACAGCTCAATTCTACCACTCCTGTGGTGATTCCTTGGATCATTAGGAACTAGGAAATCACTTGGCTGACAGCACTGTTCTAAAGATTGCAGCATCCTTCTGTAATGCCTGGACATTATTGTCTTGGTAACATGGAAATGACAGAAATCATATACACTTTTCACAGAAGTGCTGTTCATGGTGTTCCAGTTGTGGAGTACTTATTCCACACTTGGAATGATGCAAAATGTGTTCCTTCCATAAAGGGTGACAGGTTTCAAGTCTAAAATCTGTTTATCTATCTGTATCAGCCATGCAAGCTGCAGTGTTTGGGAAAAAAAAGCCCAAACAAAACAAACTCACAAAGTCATGGTAATAAAGTTTCTAGGTAAAGTCCTGCTGAGAACAATGTCAAAATTCCCAAACTCCTCAGGATTTCAGGATGATGTGATTACAGTCTGCAAGTTCCTCCTTAGGATAAGGTGTTTCTGTGCTATAACACAGGAGGTAATGAGACTAATTAAACTAAGTAAATCTGGTCTAAAAATTAGGTGGAACTGTTTTAAATAGAAAAGCAAAGTGCCACTACAATCCTTTGTGTGCTCTTTGATAAATCTTAGAACTAGATGGCTGTATTTACCAGCCTCCAAATCTTTTTTAAAAATCTGTTATGAACATAAGGAAGTGACAATTAAGGGAAGCATTACAGTTTGTGCTGCAGATAAAGCCCTGCTCAGCTATTACAACAGCTATGTTTGACTTTAAAGCAAATTAACTCTATACACAGCTTCATTTAAATTACAACACTTGCTTGTTTAGATTTGGGAACAGGAGGAGGGGGCACAAATCACATGAAATAACTCCATCTTATCTCTTTCACTATGAACTTACAGAGAAATGCCACACTTGGGGGAGTTTTAGATACGACTTGGAAAGGTTTCCTTTTGGAGACTAACTTAGTTGTAACTCCCCAGTAATGATAATTATTCCTTAAAATGATGCTCTTTATTGGCAATGTGTACAAAGAACCTCGTGAAAAGCAGCCCAGACTTGCAGGAGCTGTGAGGGGTGAGAAGGTGGTTCTTACCTGGCTGCACCCCTCGCAGCCTTTGCTGAATCGCCTCCAAGCGATGGATATATTCTGTGAGTGACTGCTCAGGATCCTGAGGTGGCACAAGGGACTTGTCTGGAGCTGAACTTGGGGACAGATGCAATCTTAAAAAGAAAACAAATTATTTTCTCCTTCTCATGCTATACTCTCAAATATATCCAGAAATTACATTCATATAGTCAGGAATTCTGGGCAGAGAAAACTGGAAACACCACCCCTTTTCCATTTGTATAGCTGTTCCTGGAAAAAAGAGCAGCAAGTGGCATTATTTAGCCTACCTTGGATCTACATCAGACCTGAGCCACCACTAATCAACCAAGTCACACTGAGCACCAGTCAGGGCTGCTGTTATTAATATCCTGCTCCATATCATACATGTGGCTTTTCTTAGCAGGGCTGTCAGAAACAGACACATGACATGACAGAGGAATAGGGTGGGGTAGAATTTTGGAAGTTCTTGCAGGTTTCAAACATTTTGCTGAATTCCATGCAAACCAGAAGACTACCTGGCTGTGACAAACCACTCAGCAAAGTTAAAAAAAGCCTACAATAATCTGAAGCATCTCCCATCTTTGCAGACTGACCTGTTGTGGGAGCGGGAGGAGGATCGTGGGGAGAGGCTTGTGAATCTTGCAGCACAGCTGGTTCTGTGGCACAGCCCTGTGTCCCTGTCCTGGGTAGGGGGAGAGCTGACAGGGGCAGCTGGAGGCTGCTGCTCTTTCAGGACTTCTGTTCTAGCACCAGAGGCTGTGGTAAATATGAAGGGTTAAAAAAATATGCACTAGGAACCACTGAGAACAGGCTGTCATAAACAAATCCAATAAACCCATGAAAATTACAACAGAGTATGCTTAAGTCTGGTTTTAAATGCAGGTAAATACACTTTCTACAGCTAACTGCTTTTTTGATTTGTGAGAGTTTTTTTGTTTTAACTGTATTTAGCAGAATTGTGATGCTATTTTGTGTTGAGGTAGAAAGTTCAGCATTTGAGGATTCAAGTTTCTTAGGAATCATACCACAGTGGGTTTATGTGTAAAAGCGGTGTTGTCTTTTAAAATAAGTATAAGCAACTTAGAAACAGTGAAAATTACATAGTACCAGGTAATGAAAAATACACTATTTAATCTGAATTTGGTTAAGCATTGAAAAGGTACAAGTAATGGAATTTTACATCAAGGGCAACAGTTCCCCAATACTGGGTGCTGCATTAAGATGTTTGTTGGAATTCTTACAGAGGCACTCATCAGGAACTCAAAGGAACACTCAAGTGTCCCTCAAGTAACTCAAGCCCTTACTGACCTGCATTAGACCATCTATCCCTCTACTCTACAGATGGATACTGGCAAAATAAACAGATTTTCCCACTTGGGTTTTGTTTTTAAATGAAACACTTCACTGAAGAGAAATTACAACGAAAACAATGTACTTATCCAAACACATAGCTGTGTTACCTCCTATACGGTGAGAAATGCTTTCACCCTGTGTGCTCTTCCTGCCAACTTTGTTCCACTTCTTCACCAGAAACTTTAACCTTGGTAAGAAAACAAATTTGTACAAGCATTAAAAATAAGCAAAATACATTAAATTTTAATCTTATTTGTTGGTATAGAACCTATTGAGCAACATAATAATTGTTGTGGGAATGACAGGAAAATTCTTCAAATTCAGTTTTTGGAATGCTGGCTTATTCCATTTTACCCTGCAATGATCTTTGCACTGCTGAAAAGACTTGCTTGTTTTGGCACTGCTCCTAATGTCCAGAGAGCTCTTCCTACCTGAGAGAAGGAGTTTGGAGGTTACTACATGAATTTGGAGGTGCTGCAGCCTTTGCTGTTATTATGGTATTCATGTCAAAGACTCTGTGTCATCACCTGATAGACACTTGCTAGTAACTACTTTAACTTGACAACCCAAAATTGCTCAGAAATAACCACCAACTACATTTAAAACTGCTTTTTTTTCATTCAGTGGGCTCAAAGTCACTGGGAGATGGCATCTTGTCCCATGCATGTACAGCTAGCAAAACCCATTTGATAGTGACACAGTGTGATAAAATCACACCCAATCAAACACACACTACTGGATTCCAGAGAACCATTCCTGACAGATCACATTCTGATACAAGACAGACTGTCCAGTGAGACCAAGGAGATAAGGATCAGCTCCAAAGTGTGGATGTGATAGCCTGGTCAGAGAGTGAGAAAACAAGAGAAGTTTTCTCACAGCAGAGACTTTCAGGGAGTTGTAGAGAAACGATGATAGCTTGTTATTGTAAACAACCCGCAGGTGGTGTTTTTCTGTTCTTCTCAAGGATTGTTGGTGAGACAAGTGTTTTTGTTAATTAGCCATTCAGGTAGAATGTGTTGAGTCAGTCTCTAAAGAGGAGAGTTTTTGGCATTAAAGCTGTGGTTGTGCAAACCAGCCTTCTTGGAGTCTGTGCTGCTTTCTCACTCAATAGCGACATCACAGGACTTCAGTTTGTAATGCTGTGCACTGGTTCCCAAATATACTGCAGATTAATATCACTCAAGTAGCTTTTTTATAGATTTATGGAATGGTTTGAGCTGGAAAGGATCCTAAGGAAGCCCACCTTGTTGCATCCTCCTGCCATGAGCTGGGACACCTTCCACTGTCCCAGGCTGCCCCAAGCCCTGTCCATCCTGCCCTTGAACATTCCCAGGGATGGGGCAGCCACAGCTTCTCTGGACAACCTGTGCCAGGGCCTCATCACCCTCACAGGGAAAAAATTCTTCCCAATATCCCATCTAAATCTACTCCTTTCCATTTTAAAAATGTTTTTTACAAATCTTCAGTACAGATCAAACTCAGCTAACAAGTCATGCTTGAACCAGTTCTGGAGATCGCTTCTGCTTAATATTAAGGTAGGATAAGCCACAGGAACTATCAATTTTTTAAGCTTCCAAGAAAACATCACCTATAAAAGAAAGCGAATGTTTTGGCTTTACCTTGAGATGGCAATGATGGCTCTGACTGCACACCTGAACTTGGTGAAGGGCCGGGAGTGTGATCCAGAGAGCTGCAGGTCTGCAGAAGGATAGATTCCCATGCGGGCGATGAGAGACAGAGTTGCTTGCTCACAGTCCTGAAACCCACCAAGCAGCAGCAAGAGGTATTTCTTCTGATAAACTAGAGCCTTTCTAAAGCTCTCTGCTCGAATGTATTTTCGATATAATCTCTGCAACTGCAGAAAGAAAAAAAAAAATTTAAAAGTTCATTTTTTTCACAGTTACTGTTGCAAAAAGCCAGCCACAAACAAGGTGTCTTCAGGTCAAATATCCAGACTGAGGACACAAAGGCAGCCAAAACAATTCTATACACTGCTAAAACCCACCCAGATTTGGAGTGTCAGATCTCTTTAAATCTCCTGAACGTTTTCAAGCAAAATTGTCATACTCAAAACTCTAAACTCTTTAATAAAAAAGTACATCTGCTTAAAAGAAATGTAAGCCAGAATGCATGGTGGGAGAGATGCCTATCTGATTTGATCACAATCAAAGTGTCAGAAAAATAACAAGTATTGAAGATTAGTCAGCAGGGATTAAAAATCTTGAGTGTTTTCTATTTTCATGCTTAGACAAGAAATCCCTATCATTTAAGAGTGGAAAGAAATTCCAAAAATCCAAATGACTTTGGATGCAAGCTCCTGTCTAACACAGAGAAAGTTCCACAGGAACATCTCTGATGAGGCACATATGGGGAAAGTTTCTAATTTAAAATAATATATCAAACTGTTTGTCTAGAAAATCAACCTTTTAAAATAGCAACTGCAGATTACAGCAATAAGTGAAACATAAATGCCATAATCTGACAGATCCTTTTTTTCTCCAGCAGATCAGGTTCAAATGATACCTCCTGGCTGTGGCTCTGCTGGCTCTCCAAGCTCCAGAAACCCCCTTTGCTGGCTATCCCCATGACTTTACCTTAGGATTGGAAATTTCTGCCACTGGTTTGTTTTCAATTTCAGCTTTGGCTTTTGCCAGCTGGGATTCTGCCTGTTTTAGCCTGTTCTGCAGCGTGTTCCTCTCTCGTTGCCAAGCCTCTCTTTCCAGCTCTTGAACAGGGTCAGCATCACTTGTAGATCTCACCTAAAACAGAAACCTAAAGGAAGTGAGCCACAATGGGTTTTGCACATTGCTTCCACAATCAAACATCTCAAACAGAGAAATAACCTAACTTTATGACAAATTAAAACATAATAATAATGAGCCTGAAAACCAGCAAAGGTATTCAGGTGTTGAACAGCACAATGGGAAACTGAAATGCATGAACAGCCCTTCTGACTTTCATCTGACTTTCTTCTACATCCACAGGCAGCATAGAAATAGTGAAGATGTCCGTGTAAATGCAAAACCAAGTTGCACATACAACAAAAACAAGTTGTAAAAAATTTTGAAAAAAATCACACATTTAATTCTGAGAGTCTGTTGTCCAGAGAAGCTGTGGCTGGCCCATCCCTGGGAGTGTCCAAGGTCAGGCTGGACAGATCTTGAAGCAATCTAGTCCAGTGAAAAGTTCCCAGCTCATGGCAGGGGGTGGAACAAGATGAGCTTTAAGGTCTTTTTCAGCCCAAACCATGCTGTGATTCTGTCAAACTGAATTTTGTGATAAGGAATGAGACCCAGGACTCCAGCTCCAATTCTTCATGGAAGTTCTGCCTTTGTAACCCTCTTTGTATCAACTACAAATTTAATGGTCATCAATTAACATCAGTGCATGATGCAGTAGATCACAAAATAAATAGAAGATAATTTTTTAAGGTAGCTGATGTTTTATCCGTTGAAACAAAATTTATACATTAGAGAAGGCAGTACAAACAACTGACCCCAGTTCCTCCTTGCAACTTATTTCAGTACAATCTGTAGCATCTGAAGGAGTTCTACATGAGTCATCTATGTCCTTGACTTCTACTGCACCATTTGGCAGCTGATTGACCAGACAGCTCCACTTGGCACAGATTTTCCATGCTGATATTTTGCCAGGTTCCCTGTCCAATACTCCCCAATTTATTGCAACTCAAGGGGGGGAAAGCAGAATATTCCTTTGGTGTCCTGAGCATGTGGTTCAGTACCTTAAAGGAAGGAGAAATTCAGAGAGGAGACTGAAGGAAAAGGTGATTCTGGGGGGGAAAAAAAAAATCAAAGCCTGAAAAGAGGGCAGAGAGGAGGGATTGTTTGTGCCCACAGAAGAAAAGCTACAGAGGTGCAGTTTTTGCTCCTATGCTCTAGAAAGGCATGTGGCTTTAAAGTGCTCTACCGAACACTTTTTTTGTTAAACAAAATTTAAGTCAGGAAATGTGAGCTCCTTTATTTTTGTGTGGTCAGTCCCTGAAGGAGGGAACTCTGCTCCAACAAGAGTTTTATCTGCAGCTGACAGCTCTAAAGGTTTGTGAGAGGAAAGCTTAACCAAAATAACCCTATGAACTTGAAGAAGAGGCTGCATCCCCCCCCTCAAGGCTGGAGATGATCCATTTGGCAACCACCTGTGTAGCTGCACAAGTGACAGAAGGAAAATATTAACCGTATTTTGTAAGCAGGTAGACACAGGGAGAGCTACAACATGCCAAGGCAGCTTGTCACACATCAGACTTGTGAACAGAAGAGACAAAAAACTTTTCACTTATCAGACAGTCAGAGATCTCTGTCTATTGCAAGAGAAAGACATAAAAATAGGGAATCTGATTGAATCTAAAAGTTATGCATGTATGTATTTTGTATCAACAGACCTGAGCTTGGTCTTTGGTAATCCATGGCCTTATGTAAAATATTTGCAATACTGCAAACATGGGTCAGAACAGCCCTGAGATTACAAGCCACTATGGTGCTTTTTGAAAAGTACTTGGCATTTTGGTGAAAAACAACTGTTTCTGGATGCATACAGAAGCTACAGCAACACATCCCAAAGCTTATGATCCTTGGACACATGACATATCTAGGAAAAAAATGCTCTCAGAAGCAGACTCTGCAATATGACAAAACAGAGTTGGACATTAAAATATGTTACTATTTTCCTTACCTGAGATGTAGGAGGAGACAAATCTGATTTTAGCTCCCTTAATGTCCGCAGTAAAGAGGCTACAGCTTCATCATTTGATGCAGACCAATCATTAACCGTTCTGTTAGGCAGAAATACCTTTTCAGTATCAGGCTGACTTGTAAGAATATTAACACATATTTAATTGCTTCTTCCCACTACTAGACCTTTAGGGTTTTGAGACTTTACTTATGCAATATTTACCACACATATTACTATAAATACACAGAGAAATTAGCAAATTCTGTTAATTTTTAAGAATTAAAAGAGCTAAGGGCTCTCAGCCATGACACACACAAGCTAGAAACAGGATGGAAAGCAAAGTGCTATTTTATGAACTCACTTATCCAGAGTTTTATGTATGAACTCATTAAGATGCACAACCACAAAGAGCAACTGCTGCCTTATCTTCTCCAGCTGTTGCTGCTGCTGTTGCAAGTGGGGTTTTTCAGTTTCGTTTGTCACAGGCTGTGTGGCACTTCCATCTTTGCTTGAGGTACACAAGAGTTCCTCCTGACAATTTGGAGTTGGAGGATTTCTTTCTCTTTCTCTTACTACTGCCAGTATTTCCTGCAGTTCTTTAATTCTTTGCTCATCTCTTTGGTGTTGCTGTTCCAAGTTTTGCTGTTTGAACAAAATAAGTAGTAGTTAATTGCATCTTATATATACCCACTTATGTAAGTGTCACCACACCTAATCAGCACATCCATCTGGGTGTTCCTGACCTGCCAGACCACTTTTGGGGGAAGACTTAGAGCACCGTTTCCCAGGGACACCAGGAAGCCATTTAATGACACTGGAATTGGCATTGTCTACATCCAAGGAGAAACCCAGGGTGAAACCAATATTTTGTCAAGCCATGACTGGGATCATAGCTCAAAAAATAAGGGCAATGACATGAAAAGTAGTTTGGTTTCATCCTGCATTTAACCCATATTCATCCCCACCTCTGAACATCCAGCAATTCCCAGCAGAGGCAAAAATGTAAGGATCAACTTCCATCAACAATAAACCCAGACACAATCCCTTGAAAACAGCTACATTTCACAAAAGTAGGACAAGAGCTCATCTAATGCATTTTTCAGAATGCATTAACAGAAGGAAACATTCCAATCAAAGAATACCATCCAGAGGGTTAAATCCCAGTGTGTGGCTATTTGAGTGTAAGGCAGAGCATTCTCACCAATCTCTCCTGATCTCTCTGCCAGTCCTTCTGTTTCTGTAGGTCTGTTTGTTGCTGCTGTTTCTGTTCTCTCTCCCTCTCCTCTTTCCTGTTCTTATCTTGCTCTTTAAGCAGCTTGAAGAGTGACTGCAGTTGTTCCCAGTCAACTTTCAGCTTGATCTCTCTCTCCCTCTGGGCCTCCAGGGAACGGATCACCTCTTGTTTTTGTGCCTGAAGAGACTCCAGGGTGGCTCGCAGTTTGTCACTGACCTCCTTCTCCTTCTGGGTTTCCTCATGGCACATCTGTACCTCAGCCTCCAGCTGCCTTTTGGACAGGATGGCCTTGTGCTGCATTTTCTCAATAACAGCAGCAAGCTCCATAGTTTGTGCCCTCTCCTCTTCCAGCTGGGCTTGGAGCTCTCGGACAAAGGCTTGTTCCAGCAGCGACTCCCTGTGCTGACAGGAAGCCCCTTCCTTCACTCTCATGCTCAACTGCTCTGTCAGAACACGCTCATGGTTCAAGGAATCCAGGAGCTCCAAGGAACGTTTTTTCTCAGCATCCAGGTTTTTCTGTAGCTCCCTCAGTTTGTTGTGCTCCTGGGCCAGCAAGGCTTCGCAGCGGGAGTGCTCGATCTGCAGCTCCTTGCGGAGGTTGTCTGTCACTGTTCTCTCGTGCTCCAAGGACACGGCCAGCTGGCAGTTCTGCACCAACTGCACATCCAGGGCAGCCTGCAGCTCCTGGGCACAAGGGGGGAGAACACATTCATATTCCAGCAAAAACACTCATTTGTGGGACCGGCTGGCATTTAGCAATTGTCAACCTATTTTATCCAGAAAGATAGTCAAGATTTAACTAGAGTAGCTCAGGTATTAAAAAGTTTGAAATTACAAGTGACGGAAAAATGCTCTTTAGCAATATGGCACCAAGCAACAAAATAAAAAAATTATCATATTAATGTATCTGCCAGTACATTATTTCCTCTTCAGTTATTAAGACCCTCATTAGGAAATCACTACTTTTTACATCACTCAGTCCCATTAATAAGTAACATCTGCAACAGCAATAACCCTGTTGTTTTAAAAAGAAAAATCTAACCAGTAAGAATAGATGTAAAGCTTCAGGACTTGGCAGCCCATCTCTTCAAATAACAGAGCAGAGACTGATAAAAATAATCACAGAATGGTCTGGGTTGGAAAGGATGTCAAAACTCATCTCATTCCCACCCCCTAACATGGGCAGGGACACCTTCCACTATCCCAGGTTACTCCAAGCCCTGGCTTGGACATTTCCAGGGATGGGCCAACCACAGCTGCTCTGGGTAATCTGGGTGCAAGGGCCTCATCACTCTCACAGGAAGGAATTTCTTCCTGATATCTAATCTAAATCTACCCTCTTTCCCTTCAAAATCCATCACAAGATTCATTCTGGGAGCCAGTGTTTCTTCAGAAGGAAAGGCAGGGACTGAAGGGGCAGTGTAGGGCACTGAAGGCAGCCAGAGCTGGCACTGCTGTCCTACCGGGGAGGTCTACTCTGCCCCACACCTAGCCAGCACCATTTGTTATGTCCTAGAAAGCCAGGTCAGATGCTAAAAGGCAGAAGCTTTCCATAATGGGGCTTCAATAAAGATTTGTGAACGCCAGACTAATCTGTCCAACTGGGTACCTCTCCAGGGCAAAGCACTTTTCTCCTGGCCTTGGCTACTCTAGCCTCCTTGCATGAGCAGCATTTCCTAACCGTGCAGCATTAACAAATATCCCAACAGAAATCACTCACAAACTTAAAACACCTACCAGGAAGATGACAGGAGAAGCCAGAGAATTTAAGTAGGATTGTTTGGAGTTCTTTGAGAGAGTTTAGTTTTGGGGTTTAAGAAATGGTTTATGTTGAATCTTCCTCATTTTCCATTTACTGTAGGCCTTTTACAAGGACTGAGTCATTGCTATTACAGCCTTGGAGAGAAAGCTATTCACTTGTTTTCTGTTCAATTTAGAAGGGAACAGAACGACTTTGGTTAACCTCCAAAAATTCATATTATATTGAAAAGGCTCCACTTACTCTCTGCCAAACCTATTTATCATTGGGTGGTTTTCTTTATAATCTCAGAGATCATACATCTCACACCCTCATGGTAAATTTGCTGTGGAATTAAGGGTGCAGTCACATCACACAGCTGTAGAATCCGGCTGTCCCTACTCAGCAAGGGGCAGTACACAACAGGGGAAAGTGGGAAAGGAAAAAAAAAAACATGAGGAGATGTGAGGAAAAAACCCCCAACATGGCATTCAACCTTGGTTTATTTCTATACGTGCAATTAATGAGAGTAACTAAAAGCTTTCACTTGGTGAAAAGGACAAAAGGACGCTATGCACATTCAGGAAAGGTTTGGGGGTTTTAACAGCTACTAAACAAAGAACAGTGGAGGGGAAGAAGACTGCACAAATAACTTGCTAGTTAACGTCATGCCCCAGGGGAGCTGGGCGTTACCTCCATGGCCTTTGTCTTTTCATCCTCTGCTTTCCTCTGCTGACGCTGCTGTTCCTCAAACCAACCTCGCAGCTCAGATCCCTTCAGCTGCTCAGCCTGCAAGTCTTCAAGCGCAGCTGCCAAATCCTTTTCTTTTTTTTCCAATTCAACACTGCAAAGTTCAAAACGACATCTCTATGTTCAGAACAGAACACCCTTCACCAGCATCATAAGCAAGACATTTTGGGTTGGTTTCTCTGGGCTCTTTCTATTGATTTGTTTCTTTAAGGTGGCCTCCATTCTTTCTAAAGAGGGTCAGTTTTCAAGGTTTTCAATCTAATTAGCATTTTAAAACATTTGCCTCCCTGCAAGCCAAGCTAGAATTGCTCGATTTTGTAACAATTAAGAGATAGGTTATTTATTCTGGCAGAGCAAAGTTGTTGTCCTGCAAGAAGAAAGCAAAATATTGGCATACACTAAGAAGGGAGTGGCAAAGGAACATACCCAAGATGACAGAATTTAGTAAAGAAAACATAACCCTTGAGAGACCCTAGTTTTCCTCCCTCTGTTTCCAAGTGCTTTATGGATCCAATTAATATAAAGTTCTTTCCCACCTGCTGATAAATCAAGTAAATGAATAAATCTACTTCTTACCGTAAATTATTTATTTCCCTCTGAAGCTCTTCCAGGGATTTCTGCAACCTTTCATTCTCTTGCATACTTCCAGAAAGCTCTGATTTCAGGGATGCTTTTTCTTGATTCAGGAGATCACATGTTTCCGAGGATCTTCTCTGCTCCTCAGAGAGAGTGCTGTGCAAGTCACTTACAATAGATTTTTCCTGCTGAAGCTTATATTCCAATAATTCAACTAGGATAAGAAAACACTGTTATTGATATTCTAGAGACCTTGACAATATGATGTCATTTATACTAATCCAAATTAGGAAAAAAAACAGCTGTATTGAAATGTTTTTGTCTGAAGAATTAATCTCTTTTCAAATGAGAGGAATCAGAAGAAGGATGCCCAAACACTATGAGTCTATCATTGTGATATTCTCTAAAATCACTTACGGATTTTAAGCATCATTAAACCAACTTATCCACTTCTATAAACATTTTATGACAGGAATCACTATATAGAACTTGTTTGGCCAGCTCTGTTCAGGCCAGTGAGTTAAGAGAAATAACTCTCCCTAAATTTTGAGGCTCCTGTTTGATAAGTACTTAAAAACAATTAATGTACCTATGTCTACAGTATCATGCAAATAAAACTAGTAATAAACTTCTGGATGTCCAGGAAACTTTGCTCTATTGGACTACAGCATGTGCTATTAAATAGCTGAAATCTGAATGACAGTGATGGAAAAACAAAAAGAAGGAAAAAGCAGTGTTTTGCTTTGAAGAGAGATGTTTATTTTTGACCACGGTCACTTGCACTTATTCCTTTATTACATAAAGGGAACCTGCTGTGAAAATGAAGGCTTGCTTATTTAGTCAGGAACATGGTTTAGCAGTGGCCCTGACACTGTTTATGGTGGGACTCCAGAATGTTAAAGGTCTCATCCAGCCTAAATGATTCTGTGATTCTATACTAGCAAACATATAGATAACCAATTCTCTGCAAACAAACAGGGGTTTTACTGTCCTTGCTGGGTTTTCTCCATGTACACACTATTTTAGTTCCATTGCTTAGGGTTATTTCACAGCTTCTCTTTGCTTCTCATAGTTTGTCTTAACTACTGATATGAGAAAGAACTGCTAACATCATAGGCAACCTGAGTGCATTCAGTAAAACTGAGGAATTGTACAGCATCATCTTCTTTGCAAGATACCTTTTTTTGCCTTTCACCTTTAAGGCAAAAAGGAACTGATACAGAAGACAGAAAGAGCTGACAGAGACAGTAAGAAATACCTTTCCTCCGGAGCTGGTGCTCCTGCTTGTTGCCATGATCCTCAGCCTTGGTAAGGGTTTCCTGGAGCTGCTGGAGCTTCTCCTGGTTCTGGAGATGTGTCATGCGGAGCTGAGCTCGGAGGTCCTGAATTTCTGAGAGCAGGCTATTCCGGTCTGAGGAGAAGAGGTGCTCCACAACCATCTGCCTCTGCTCCTCCTGAAACAAACCAAGGCCTATTTAAACTACAAGGCTATTTCCATATCTTCTGCAAGGATAAATACTAAGTGAACTCTTGCAGTACAAGTTTTGTACTGAAGCACTCAAATGACTAAGTTCATGCTTCACATGAATGCAAAATGATATTATGTAAAAAAGAAAAACCCCACTTCACTTGCCTTGTCAAGTTTATACATAACAATTACTACAATCTAGAAACTAAATATTACAGGCAAAAAGCCCCCAGATTCAGAGTTATATACCCTTTGCAAGGGAGATCTGCGAAGTTCTAGTCAAATGGGAAGGAGGAAAAGAATTCAACCAAGTATTTCCTATTTAATATCACAGTCTTTCTTGATGTCAGCTAAAATAATCAATAGGCTTTGTAACATCACGAACAAAGTTCAAGAAAAATGCTACCACAACAAAAACTCTAAAAGCTACTGGTCTCAAGCCATCTGCATTATACAAGACATAGAAGATAGTAACATAATACACAAGATTTAGCAACAGAAGCAATAAAAATGAAAAAAAAAAAATAAAAGAGAATTAAGAAGAGATGTATGAGCACCACACTTTAGGAGCTTTTCATACTTGCTGTTTCATTATATACTCCAGCTTTTCCCCAAATGAACTGGTGTCACCAGATGCAGGATTGGAGAAGTGAGACTTCAAGTCAATTTGCAACATACTTCTCTCCTTCTCAAACACACTCTGTACTGCTTGCAGAAGTTCTCCTCTCCAGTCAGCAGCAACACCTGATGTTTCCTGTTAAAATATTTTTTTTAAATAGCATTTCTCAAATTGTAACCCAGCATCTTTCATACCATAGGAGTATATCTGTTTATTTAAGCACTTTTAGAAACGTTTAAAGAGTACTGTCCCTTACTCTTTAAACATATATATACACACACAAGCCTCATAACATATTCTATATAAAACATATATATATATATATATATATACATATACACACACACACAGCCTGGTTCCCTTGCTTTAAAGGGTATTTTATAGCCATACCTTGTCTCCTCTATCTGCCACTTTGCTGAGGTAATCCTTCAGTGACTGGATAGCATCCAGCAGGGATAATCCCTCCTTCTGCCAGCCCTCCATTGCCACTTGGGTCTGAGGGACATTCTTCAGCTCCCTAAAAGCAAAGGGATGCTCTGACAAAGCCAGGATTTTGCGGCTCTCCTCATACACCATCTTCAGCACAGTCTAAGAAAAAAAAAAAAGATAATATTTGGAAACAGGTATCAGCATCCTGACAGTGTAATAGTAGGATGAGTTAGTACTAGACAACAAAAGTAAGGTGTCTGTATCAACACCCTAAGGTGCAATTAAGCATAAATTACTATTTATGCCAAAATAGTGTTTCTGAACCATTTAGCTAACTTTCCTGGGAATGAATTAAATTCTATCAAGCCTGAAGCTATGTTACCAAACCTCAGTGATGCCAGAAAACTGAATGATGTATTTAGACAACCTTGGCTTAATTTAGCAAATTATGTACAAATATCAACTCCCAAAATAACCACTGTAATAATTTACACAGTGAAAATTTTTTCCTCTGACATTATCAGGCCAAATATATATTTTAAATAAATTCCCTTTTCACAAGCTATTACATCATGCACAGATGTTTCCTGGCCTCTTTTCAAGGAAGGTCACTGGAGAGTTGAATTCTTTTCTTACACACATCTCATCAGAGCATCACAGCCTCCATGTGGAGCTACGCACTTTAAAAACAACATAGAGTACTTTTATTTAACTCTTGCTAATCTTCCCCTGCACATTTTTTAAATTACTTTTCAACAAACTTAAGTTACTTTTCTGTCACTGGAATCAAAGAAGTGATTACTTCAATAATCAATGAAAACCTTTAGTAAATATTAACATCAGAAGCACAGTAAAGTGTTCAAACATTCAGTACTGGAATATGCACTCATATCTTACAGCCAGTAAAGTCGAGATTGATGCTCCACAAATGAAACTAAAAACAAAAATACCACCCTGTTTCTTAAGGTATAATAAAATTCACCTCTTCTATGAAATCTCTGACACAGAATTTTTTAGACAGAGAATCACAGTTTGGTCTTCAGCTGAAGGGACCTTTCAAGATCATATCTAGTCCAACTCTGCTGTGACAGGCATAGGGAGCATCTTCTATTATTTCAGGTTGCACAAAGCCCCATCCAATCTCATTTTCAATGGATTCTGGGATAGACTTCTAAGGATCCACCACCTCTCTATGCCAGTGTCTAATCACAAAAAATTTTGTACTTATGTCCAATCCATTTCATGATCTTACTGGGCACAGAGGTGAGGCTGAAAGATCAGTAGCTTCCAGGGTGCTCGTCCTTAAGCTTTTTAAAACAGACTGCTCTGATTCCCTTTTCTCCAGTCACCGAGGACTTTGACTGCTGTGACTTTTCAAAAACAACGGAGAGTGGCTTGGCACTTGCAACTGCAAAATTTCCTCAGGACCTTGGGATTCATGTCTTTGGGTCCCACAGACTTACCTATGTCCAGGTTCCTCCAGTGGTGTTGAATCTGATCTTTTTCTTACAATAAGAAAGAACTTAATTCTTACTTCCTTCCTCCAGTCCCTTCCTCATCTAATTTAAAGATTTCCTTATGGGTTTGGCCATCTTATTGGTGGAGATACCCTTGTCTCACTTGCTTGGGTGAATTCCATGAGTTCCCAACATTTCTGGCATCTCAAAGGTAAATCCATGATAATAAAAACTAAAACCTTGAGTACTGCACCAGCTGCACAGCCAGGGATTCTATTCTGGTACCCTTCATCTGACTGGGAAGATAGAGAGAATATCACCCACAGTCCCAAACCTTTGAACTGTCCTGTCAAAGTGCTGTTAGACCCCACACAGGTGATAATCTGTGGGGCTCACTCAGCTTGACAGCCTCAGTGACACCACAAATACAAGCTGCTGGTAAGCAACAAACTTCTCTAGAGAAGGCACCAGGATGGCAGGAGGGTGCTTCAGTGCCTCTCAGTAAGGAATCTCCAATTACCAACACCTGATGTACTTTTCTGGTAGCACTGGTTCTAATGCCAGCAGATGGTTTCATCAGCTTTGCATGTTTGGCTTTTCCTGGATCTCATCATTCCTGGAACTCATTATTCCATGTGTTCTTCCTTCTCCAACCCTAGAGCATCATATCTCTTATTAAGGGCAGATGGATGGGGGAAGCATCTTCCTTCTGACTTGAGCAGCGATAAAGGCCCAGTCTCCTTCCTCTTGTGAGTTACCTGTGCCAGTTAGGTTGAGTGAGTTTGAATTCAGGCTTACCTTCCTCCCTTGTGCTGGGCAAGCTGAAGGGACCTGCTAAGCATATTAGGAGGCAGGATTCACTTCCAGGAAGGGATTTCTTACAGTTTCTTATTACTTGAGAACTCACTGTAACCTACTGCATTCTCTCACAGGTAACAATTTCTCCCTTTCTGTAGCTGGAATTTTTAAAATGGCTGACAACTTGCTCAGCAAACCAAAGAGTTCCAGGCATATACTTTCTTCAACTTTAATTACTGACTAGAGTGAGCACTCACTGCTCAGTCTTCTGTATATTCCTCATGTTGCTTGAACTGGCTCTGACCTAACCCTGCACACCTTGCACTGGTGTTTCCACAGCTCTCCATCACATCAAGATGACAAGAACAGGCAGAGGAACATGATATCAGCCAGCTATGGTTGCTTCTGAAACAACTTTCTGTGAAGCCTCCAAGGCAAACCCATAAAGCAGAATAAGCAGTCCTTGTACCCCCACAATCTGAAACAGCATCAGTTATTGTCCTAGCAAAACTAGTTCAATTCTAGCAAGTACAAGCAAATGTCAGTAATGTTGTCACAAGAGATGCAAGGACAAGAACCATCATCAACTTGCAGTTTAAACCACTATAGAACACTTTTCAGTGTAAATGTAGCAGCTATTTTACATTGCCATTTCACTTTTGCTGTCCAGTTTTAATTTGCTGGTATGCTTATATTAATCATATGTTACCTTCATCTGTGGTGAAAGTATTTCCTTCTCTTTCATTGATTCCATAATATCTGGAATTATGCCCCGGTATCGCAGGTAAGCCATGACATTGGCATCTAGGTGATCTGATGTTTGTAGCTCCTGCTTTAAATTAGCTGCCAAATTTGAGCTGGTATCTGAAGGAAAGAGACAACCATCCCCACAAAGTGTTACAAATAAGGAAAGAACTTGAAAGTAGAACAACCACTTGTAAAATAACCATGACTTCTGCTTGTATGAATGCAGGGTCAGATTGAATTGGCTGGTTGATATCTCAACTTAAACAAGTTAAAAATAATTTAAGTTGCCTTTAGAACCAAAGGAGTAGTTAAGTACTTAAGCCAGGACTCAAATCCCCTGCCTCTGTTCTGTATGTAGATGAAAAGGTAAAAGCAGGCACAATATATACATGTGTATATATATATACATATGTGTATATATATATATGTTTCTTAACAAAGAACCACCTGCTTAAAGCATAGCTTTCCAATAAAAGACTACAGTAAAAGAAAATGGAAGAAAGGAGAAACATGTTTTAATATTGAAAGTAACAAAAGGTAAAAGCAATCTACAAAGTTCAACTTACTGCTGCTACATCCATCACTCATGGCAGATGCTCTTGATCCTTCATCATCTTGTAAATCAGAAGGGGTTAAAGTCAGATTATCAGCTTCTCTCATCTGCTTGAGAAGAAATTTTTCATGTTACTTTGGTTTTCTGAATGTAGCTGTTGGTTTCAGCATTTATGACAACTTTTTTACTTGTGCTGATTTTTAGCAAATCCCTACTTGATCCACGTGTTAGAGATGGCAAATACCACAATTAATGCAACATTGGTGCACTGCAAAACCATTCCATCTCAATTTTTTCCTCTTTTAATAGTCTTAAGATACCATGTGTTTATATTTAACTACCCATCAAAGCAAGGCACAAAAACATACAGCCAAGGAGAAATTTTCTTAAGTATAGACTTAATCTTCCTGTGAAATTACAGAATATAGACAATATATAAATATATGTATACAACATATAAAACACTGCTATTATCCAGTTTTGAAAGAGTCTCTTCTAACACTCAACAACAGATTGTTGAAGAAGTGGAGAGCTGTTAGAGTACACTGAGTATTGTGGTAGCAAAGGTTTTACAGGTTGATCTCAATTACTGACACATTAAGTGCAACAAATTTATCAGTTTTTATCAGAGTAAGAGAGGAACTAATAATTGTATGTCCAGAACTTCACTGGCCCTACTCCCAGCAGTGTGTAGCTTTCTACTTCTTGGAGCCTGTGGCCCCTCAATGATCCCAGGGGGACAGAGCTGAGTAGTCTTGTTTAAAAAGAATTAAATCAGACATGAAATATCACTTACCAGAAGATTCTTCTCCATAGCTTCATCATCATCAACAGTATAGGTACTTTCAGAGAAAGCTGGAGATTTTCTATCTACTCCCACTGCTGCATCCCCACTGCCATTTTCATCCATGTTAGAATATCCCAGTGATATGGAATTCTCTCCTTCCAGGGATGACCTCGTGTGCACAATTTGAAAATCTGTGTTTTCAGCTTCTGAGAAGGGTGTCAGGTGAAGCACTGGTTGAAGCTCCATGCTTATATCTTGCTTTCTCATGATCTCAGGCGAGCCCCATGAAGACATACTTGAAATTAAATTCTGGTAATATTTTGGAGTCTCTTTGTCTATGCTCAAATTGTGTTTTGGTGAATCAGGAGTTTGATGAATTTCCAACATTTGCTGGCAATGCTTTTTCAAATCTTGATCCCCTTCAGAGCTGTGGATCATGTCCAACTCCTGGCAAAAGATATTTTCTTGTGATTGCTTCATCTGTGTTTTTGGATTTTTATTGTGAAATGGCACGTCAAACATAGCTTCATCTTTTTCCTATAATGAAATAATACACATTATTTGTTTAATTGAATTAGAGTATGATTTTACAAACTGAGAAACATGCACTTAAAGGCCTTTTAGAATGGATCAATTTTTCCATGCATCGCTTTAAGTAATTTTAAGGTAAAATTACTCTTAACCTCTGATTCTGTGACTGAGTCTAAATAATGCACTATTTGAGAAGATATTTTATATTATTTTAAATCTGTCAACATGGAAATTTAATTTCATCCTCCATACCTGTTAGTTTGTCAGATACAGTGAATAATTGTCATCCCTCTCATTTTAGGCCATCAACTTAATCCTTTTGTGTTAATCATCCCTCTTCATCATCTGTTTTAAGCCCAGTGCCAGCTGCCAGGACTTTACTCATTTTGCTGCTCCTCCAGCTTTCATTTTAATACATTTCCTGATTTTCACATTGTTTCCACTTTGGAACCCAAGCATAAATATAGGAGGGGTTCTTTGCTCCTTTAAGAATGCTGCATTATACTTTTTCTAATATCTGAATGAGCTAGATCCATAGAAAAAGAAGTCTACTGTAATGAATGCTTGAAGACATGGTAGTTTATTTACTTTGCATCAACATATTCTCCAATTTTGATAATTATCCCTCTTCAGTCTACTTAAAAACTTCCACTTAAACATGGAAATAGATGTACTGACACAAACATCAATTGAAACCTTCCAGAGTCTGAGTTTCTACCTGAAAAGTGTTTTTTTTAAATTATTTAATTGCCCCCAGCATGCCAGCATTCCCTGATATCCTTAAGAATGTTACCAATTATCTCTTCATTGAATCCTCAATTAAATCAGTTTTTTTTAACAGAGATCTGACAATCCCTACCTGTATAAAAAACATGGCCCAGTAGCCACTGGACTGGAAGTCTGCTGCCTTGTTACAGACATATCCTATGGTTTGAAGTACATCAATCTGCATGGGCCATTTAACACTTTTCCCACCTATTTCTTTGTCCTGAGAGATTTCTGGGGCATGCCCTGAATGTACAGTGTCACCCAGATGGCACTGCTCCAACCTCGAACTTTCAGGCAAATAAAAATACAAACACCAGGGATGATCACATGTTTTGCATAGCTACACTCTTCATTTCTGCTTTAAAAATAAGTATGTCATTATACATAGCAATTATCCTATTATTTCTTTTAAATAAGTCATCTACATTGGATGATTATTATAACATACTGCCAAGCAGAGCCCTGAAAATCCACATAAGCTTGGCATTGAATGTTTTTCCTTTCCTGTATACTCCAACTCTTCATATAAACCTTATTAACTAGCACTTATTACTCTGTAAGCCAGCCTTTAAAGACAGTAACTTGGTGTATGACATATTTCTACAGCTCTCTGAAAAAGGGTCACCCAAGTCCTACTGCTTTCTAAAATGGAGTGATTTAAGAATTTAAGATTAGGTTACGTGGAGCAAATGGTTCTAGAGAAGATTCAGAATAATGACAAGAAAGAATCATACTAAGTAAGAATTTCCGAAAAGAAGACATGAAGAAGTGTTTTCAAATAGTTCTCCAATAGGAGCCATGAAGAATGGCAAACAGTCTTGGTAGCTCGTGGGCTCATTGCTTGGCTTGCAGATACCCATCCTCTCACTCTCCATCCTCAATAGTTCAGGAGGAAAAAAAATTAAGCTGGAAAGAACTCGCAGGTGGAAAGAAAGAAGGGATATCACCCACTAACCATTCTTGCAGGCAAAACAGAGTAAAACGGGGAAAGTGTATTTAATTTATTAATCTAGAAATATATTATTTTAAAAAATCTCACCAAAATGAATAATATTATTAAAAATCAAATAATGTACCAGTTTAGCAGTAGGGGAAGCCAATACTCCAAATGACTGATCAATATTTGCTTCTAATTCCTGCACTCCATTTTTAAAGTCTCCATCTTTTCTTTTACTCTGGCAGAATGGCTTGAGAAATTGAGTCTCTTCATGACCTACTTGCCCCTCCAGCTTGCAAGACTCCAACTGTGAAAGAATTTCATCTCTTTCCAATCGTAGGGCTTCGAGATCTTTCATGTGGGCCTTGATTTCACCTTTCAGTTTTGCAGTGCTCCCCTGCAGTTCCTTGATTTCTCTCAGATAAGCTACTTCTTTCTGATTCAGTGCTTGCACCTGGAAATCAAGTCTAGAAACTTCTAATTGAAGACTGTAAACATCCTGTGCCTGACTTGCACCTCTCTTTTCCAACTCTGTTTGGAGCTCTGCTGCTTTTTCTGTTAAGTACTGCAGCTCAGTGGTGTCAGCTTCTCTTTGATCTGCCATTGTCTTAATTTGCATCTCTTTCTCTAAAATATTTGCTTCCTTTTCTCTCAACTTATCTTCAAGTTCTTGAACTCGAGATGTAGACATCTTTGTCTCAGCCTCTCTCTGAGACAACAGAGTTTGGGAAACCCTGTATTCTTCCTGAAGTGCCTGGTGCTGGATTCTCAGGGAGGTGAGCTCTGCAACAGACTGCTCTGATGACTCTCGAAGCTGTTGGCATTTTTTCTCCAAAGCTTCCACTTCGGTTTTGAGTTGCAATTCCTTTTTTTCCAGTTGCTGCTGCAGAGCTTCTTTAGAAGCTGAGACAAGCTCCAGTTCCTCCTGAAGTTCTCTCATTTTGGAGTGCACTGATTCGTTTCTTCTATTTGCATCAGCATCACCTTGACAAGCTACCAGTTCCTTCTTCAACTCATTCTGAAGGTTTTCCACTGACTTTTCCAAGGCAACTTCATAGAAATAAACTGGATTGTCACTATCTTCATGACATACTGGCCCAAATTGTGCCAGCTCTTTCTGAAGCTTCTCAATGACTCCATGGAGTTGCTCCACCTCTTCATCCTTGTCCTTACGCAGCCTCTCCTGGTCAAGGCGAAGGTGCTCGACCAGCGATCTGAGTTCTTCAATTTCAGGTTTTTGGTCTTCTGCAATCTAAGCAAAAGGACTGAATATTACTCTATGTAGGCAATTATTATTGCATACAGAGTTTATATTTCTCTTCTGAATCACACAGGCATTAAGTCACATACGTAACAGCAGAAAAAAACCATACATTTCAGCTGGTAATGTCTCAAAATAACCTCTACTTTCCAAAGAGAATTATCAAACATTTCATTTTCAATAAGAATCTGCACACCTTGATTCCCCCCAAAACCAAGCAATGAACATATAATACGCACTCTTACTTTATTCTCCAAAGCATTCTGCAGCTCATGCTGAAGTCCCTTCATCTGCTCATTCAAGTGGTCGATTTCTTGATTCTTTTCTTCAAGCAGTGCTTGTGGGAATGACAAAGCTGAGGAATCACTAATACCTAGGTCCTGGCTTTGCTTCACATGAAGTTTTGTTAGATCCTCCTGACCAGAGAAAACAAAAATCTCATTAGAAAGGACCGATTTTGTCTCTCAAACTAATGGCAGAGCAGAACTAGGGGCTTTATTTAAATATTCTCTTATTTACTATAATGGTGAAGAGCTCAGGAACACAACTACAGCTTCTTCAGGTTCACACCACCGTTAGACCACCCCAACCCAGAAAATAACCTCAGCTCTTGATTTAAATCAAATCACTGTAGAAGATAATGCTACAAGCATGAATCTGGAATACTGGGAGACTTTGGTTCTACAATACCCAGCATTAGTCTTGTAAGGGTAATGCAACATTCTGATGGCAAGAGAAACAAACCAAGTATCTGTTTACAACATCCTGAGATGAACACCTCAGAACTCAAGAAAACAGATCTCTGACATTTTAGGCAGTGCACTAAAGCTAGAGGAACCTACCTGCAAGTGTGCATTCTCTGCCTGAAGCTGGATGATGTTGGAAGTACTAAAGTTTTTTTGCATCTCTAACTGCAAATTCAGCTGCAATATCTCCTCATCTTTCTTGCTCAAGTTATCTTTATATTGTTCTACTTGGTCTAGCAAGCTTGCAATCTAAAAAAAAAATTAAAATGCATAGCTGTTTTAATTAAATCCTCTAAGATAAAACTTCATTGATTGTATTATTTAACAACAGGAAGTAATTTCAGCAAATTCAGTGATTTAAACTCTAATCAACTTGCACAAATAAACCCTAAATAAGTAAGTATAAAGATTGAGAAGCTTGTATTCCAGCTCCTCATCTGCAAAACCAAAGTACTGCAAAGGTGGGTTTGTTTTCATTTTTTTAAAAAAAATCTACCTGCTCACAAAAGATACATTAATCTGTATTGTGATGTCATTTAATGTAACAATATGAAGCAAATTAGCATTTGATGTGCAACAAAGATAAGCAGTCAATATAAACACCATCCTTGTCCTCCCAGAACCCAGAAACGAGCCTTGCAGTGCCAATCCCAACAACACAGACAACAAAGAGATGATTCAACAACCACACTTTTCTCTGCAGTGTGATGTTGCCATCCACGGTTTTTATCATCTCTTGCCTTAATGGGTAGCAAGGCATAGTGGCTTTGGGAATTATGATTGTTGAAATCAGACTTCATAAGAGAAATGGAAATTCCATCTTGAAGAAATTAATTTTTATTATCTTGTACTGCTCTTGAAAGAATGGTGTACAATTGACTGAAGGATCACTCCTGTTTTTCTTCTGTATACATCTTTAACTGGACTACATCACAGATATTTTAATAACAAACATACAGTGGGGTTGTATATGCATTTATACTGTAAATCCAGTAGGAGTTCCAGATATTGTGAGCAACTTCTCTGTGTTTCTTCTTAGCTTGACACAAGAATTCACCACAAACGTTATCTCAAAACAGACTAAATTACACCATTATGGTGTAGTAATATATAACTATCTAAAATAAAATTATATAATATAGAAATATATAAAAATTATATAATAATCATCTCTCACTCTCAAACAAAAACTTATCTACCTACTTCAACTTTGGAAGGAAAGGAAAATCAGTTTACAACTGACAGTGATCAGTCTCAAAGTAATGTGAATCATCACAAGACAGTTTCCAGCAGGAAGGGAGATGAGCACAGAACAAAGCAAGAAAAAGGAAAGTTCCTTGAGGCCAAAGCAACTCAAGAGTCTGTGGAACCCTCCCAAAGCTCTCACCTCTCTCTCCTTGGCCTGAAGTGCTTCCTGCTCTGCCTGTAGCTGCTCCTTCAACACTGGGGCAGAAGTGCCATCCACTGGCACTCGGTGCCTCGCTTCATCCAGTTTAGACTGCAGGGCAGAGATCTGAATCAGGTTATTGTACTGCTGCTGTTGCAATGCCTCTTTATCCTGAAAAATGATTTTTTTTTTTCATGTTAGAATTAACTGCTGTCAATGTACAAACCTACTTAACCAGAACAATCCTGTTGAAACATTTCATTGACCCTGACACACCCAGTACAAGAAGAAAAGTACATAATCCCAGTGGCCTATAAAGAAATAGGAATTCAAGACAACTGAATGCTTTTAGCTCATTTAAGTTTTTACCCCTTTGCTTTTTGTAATTCAAGTTCATCAACTTCAGAAAATTTAGCATTCAGTGATAAATTACACTTTCTCAGTTACACAACACTTCATATGTTTAAGAATATAACATCTTGTTCTTCTAGCCATTTCAAAATCTGTTATGATACCATATATGTGTCAAACTAAATCTGACAGATGGACACAGTTTAAGAAATTAAGAGTTCTGGGTAGGTCAAAACCTACTCACAAATACATCAAGTTCAGTCAGAATGTGATAAAGCAGCACTAAGTTTGTCCAACCTGTGATGTGCCAAGCTACTATAGCTTATTTTACTGAAAAAAATTGGTTTTTGATCTTCCTTCTCTCACAGTCCTTCTCAGAAGCTGGGTCAATCCAAGGGTAGGACACTGAACATTTAGTTTCAGATGGCAGGGAAAGTTACTCAGATGTATGGTAACTTTTGCTAAATGGATTGTAATTCTTAACCTTAGGCTGTGATTAACTCTGTAGTAGTAACTAAATGCTACAGGTTTTAGACTCTGGCAAACAGATCTGGCTTCAGACCCAGAGCAAGAAGGGCTACAGATTAAGAAAATTTGATTAATAACACAGGTACTTCTTAAAAACCCTCAGTGTTTGATTTTCAGTAACACCACCTTCTCAGAAACTTGCAGACAAGCTCAAAAGCAGCTCTGAAACAGCAAACATGACAACTGTTAAAAGCAGCCTTGACAGTAGGACTTTGAGATGTACTTAGGTCTTATAAATAATATCTAAGTACATACTACTTACAAATAGTATGTAAGTCTATAACGGACTTAGAGTTTGTAGAACCAGACATTATTTAAAACTGTGGCTGTGATATGTGCCATTAATACACCAGTTTAACTCACCACTGGGTGCCACACAGTGCTGCAAACACGACTGACAGCCCCCAAAAAGCCACTGCCATGTAATGGCAATCCCATTTAAATAAAGATTTTAAAATTACCTGTTTCAGTTCAGTTTCCACTTTCTTCATTTTCTGCAGCTGTTGTTCCAAGCTGTGTACAGTCTTTGAGACCTCAGCACCACTGAGCTTCAGCTCTTGGATCTGTGCCACCAGATTTTCTATCTCTTTATCACGAGCTGCAATTTCTTGGTGTTTTCGCTCCTTTTCTAGTAACAGTTTATTGTAGGCATCCATCTTCTCTTTTATTTCTGCTTGCAAAGATTCTACCTACACAGAAATCACAGTATACAGATATTCAGGCAATATGAACAGATTTCCTGCCAGTTGAAAGCAAGAGTCATTTCACATAGAAGGAGGTTTTACTACGGATTAAAGTGGTGCTAAAATCTCAGGTGAAAATAAAACTAAATCTGCATAGAAAGTAAGAAAAAGTTAGCTTTCTGAAATCTTGTTTTCCAAATGCAGCAGCTCTTAGATACATGTTTGATTACTCTCTTAACATCTGCAGTACTCTCAAAGTACTAGATGAAGGTATACTCTCAAAGGAGGGTTTTGGTGACAGGGTTACTTGGCTATCAGATTAAAAACTCACCAAGATTACACGAGTTATTAATAATAGCAATGGATTTATTTCTGTAACCTCAGAACCCCCTCTTCCAATATTCCAAGGAATCCCAGTTTAGAGGAAGATACCAAGAACTGAAGGATAAATATGCAGAGAGACTCCCAGGAGCCAACATAGGACAGGTATATTGCTTTCCAAAAATAATTTAAATATGAAGTGGATAGAAATTTTGAATTTTAGCTGCAGGAAAACAGTCATTCATTAATCCCAGTAATCAAGGTGAAGGCAAAGCTAGGAGCTTTGGTGTGACAGACTATCTCAGGGTGTGAAAAAGTCATTTAGCATAGTGAAAGCAAGCTCAGACAGGAAAGCAGTGGGAATGGTGAAGTAATTTGGTCAATACCCATGAGCAAGGAAGATGGGATTTTACAAAATAAATGTTTTGTTCATCAAAAAGTGCCTGAATTAATGTAAAACCCACTTCAATATTATGAAATAAAAATTCTTTGCATTAACATAGGTTTTTAGATCGTCAAAGTATTGCGCAGATATTACTAAAGCAGGAAAATGTGCCTGAGCAAATTGATGAGTCAAACAATAAACAGGGAGGGTGGTTAAGAAAACCAAAAGTTATGAACATTACATTTTCAAGCTGCTTACAGGCACAAGCATGTGTCTGTATCTTACTCCCATCTCATCTCATCAGCATCTGACCACTGCTAACCATAACACAGGTCTTACAGTAAAGCTTTTGGGTATAGAAAAATATCCTAGAAGTCTAATCTTTCTAATGCTACAAGATTTTGGCATCAGATTTCCCAAACTATGATACTTCAAACATAAAAAACACATTTTTAACACACGTTGCTAGAAAGCTGGTGCTGCAATCCTGTAGCTAACAAAACACTTCCACATAACCTTCACTCTCACAGTGCAGCTGCCAAGAACCAGTCAGCACTCTTTCCACAAAATAATCCCACTTACACATACCTTGTACCTAATAAACACCAGAGGGGGGAAACTTGTTATAACTGCTACATGCAGAAATCAGGAGTTCACTTGAGCTGATTTGGAGTGAGTTAAGCACTTATTGATGTTACAGCTGCATTAAACAACTGAACAAATACTGACATTTCCTGGCAGAGAATGCCTGCATACCTCACCCTACCCACAAATGTCACATGCTTAGTTACCATCCTTGTGTGTTTTTCTCCAAATAAGTTTTCATCCTTTCCGAGAGGTTGCAAAGCTACAGCATTTATATTTTCAGCATGGAAAATTCATTCCCTGGAAATTCATTCTATTGAAGATATGGATGTGCAACTCTAACAATGAAGTACACAATTCCATTACTATACATAAATAGATGGAAATTAATTTAACTACTTTACAAGTTTTGATAACAGCAAGACCACAAAAAAAAGGCACAGTTTTATCATCACCATTCCAGTATCTTTGTTTCAGGCTCCAAACCTCAACTTCTCCTTTAACACCAAAAGGCTGTTTCAGTGAATAACTGCCTGTAACACCTCTGAGCAATAAGCCAGGAGAGCTAAGTACTTCTGTAGAGGAAATTACAATGAAAGCAGTTGTTCATTCCCTGCAAGAACTCTGCCACCTTAAAACCTGTATTCTTCACTCCAAGTCCCACCTTGACATATCAAGAAGAGGAAAAAAGCTAAAGCATATCGAGAAGGGATTGAAAGGAAAAGGAAAGAAAAGTTGAGACATTCATGCTGTTTTCCATACCTGTAGAATCAATTCATAGTTCTGTATAATGTTCATTTATGTGGAAAAAAAAAAAAAAAA